ACGTTTCAGCAGGACAATAACCTAAAACACCAGGCCAAATCTACACTGAAGTTGCTTACTAAGACGACATTAAATTTTCCTGAGTGGCCTAACTACAGTTTCAACCTACAGAACCAGTCAAAAGTTTGGACACACCTACTCATTCCAGGGTTTTTCTTTATTTTTACTATTTTCTACATTGTAGAATAATAGTGAAGACATCAAAACTATGAAATAACATGTAGTAACCCAAAGAGTGTTAAACAAATCAAAATATATTTTATATTTGAGATTCTTCAAAGTTGCCACCCATTGCCTTGATGACAGCTTTGCACACTCTTGGCATTCTCTCAACCAGCTTCACCTGGAATGCTTTTCCAACAGTCTTGAAGGAGTTCCCACAAATGGTGAGCACTTGTTGGCTGCTTTTCCTTCACTCTGTGGTCCAACTCATCCCAAACCATCTCAATTGGGTTGAGGTCAGGTGATTGTGGAAGCCAGGTCATCTGATGTAGCACTGCATTACTCTCCTTCTTGGTCAAATAGCCATTACACAGCCTGGAGGTGTGTTGGCTCATTGTCCTGTTGAAAAACAAATGATAGTCCCACTAAGTGCAAACCAGATGGGATGGCGTGCCTTGCTGGTTAAGTGTGCCTTGAATTCTAAATAAATCACCACAGTGTCACCAGCAAAGCACCACCACACCATCACACCTCCTCCTCCATGCTTCACGGTAGGAACCACACATGCAGAGATCATCCGTTCACGTACTCTGCGTCTCACAAAGACACAGCAGTTGAAACCAAAAATCTCAAATTTGGACTCATCAGACCAAAGGACAGATTTCCACCGGTCTAATGTTCATTGCTCATGTTTCTTGGCCCAAGCAAGTCTCTTCTTCTTATTGGTGTCCTTTAGTAGTGGTTTCTTTGCAGCAATTCGACCATGAAGGCCTGATTCACACAGTCTCCTCTGAACAGTTGATGTTGAGATGTGTCTGTTACTTGAACTCTGTGAAGCATTTATTTGGGCTGCAATTTCTGAGGCTGGTAACTCTAATGAACTTATCCTCTGCAGCAGAGGTAACTCTGGGTCTTCCTTTCCTGTGACAGTCCTCATGAGAGCCAGTTTCATCATAGCGCAAATAGTTTTTTCGACTGCACTTGAAGAAACTTACAAAGTTCTTGAAATTTTCCGGATTAACTGACATTCATGTCTTAAAGTAATGATGGACTGTCGTTTCTCTTTGCTTATTTGAGCTGTTCTTGCCATAATATGGACTTGGTCTTTTACCAAATAGGGATATCATCTGTATACCCCCCTTCATTTACATTTACATTTTTCATTTACGTCATTTAGCAGACGCTCTTATCCAGAGCGACTTACAAATTGGACCCTTCCTTGTCACAACACAACTGATTGGCTCAAACGCATTAAGAAGGAAATAAATTCCACAAATTAACTTTTAAGAAGGAACACCTGTTAATTGAAATGCATTCCAGGTGACTACCTCATGAAGCTGGTTGAGAGAATGCCAAGAGTGTGCAAAGCTGTCATCAAGGCAAAGGGTGGCTACTTTGAAGAATCTCAAATATAAAATATATTTTGATTTGTTTAACACTTTTTTGGTTACTACAGTTTTGATGTCTTCACTATTATTCTACAATGTAGAAAATAGTAAAAATAAAGAAAAACCCTTGAATGAGTAGGTGTGTCCAAACATTTGACTGGTACTGTACATCGGCTTGAAAATCTATGACAAGACTTGAAAATGGCTGTCTAGCAATGACCAACAACCAACTTGACAAAGCTTGAATAATTTCTTAAAGAATAAATGGGCAAATATTGTACAATCCAAGTGTGCAAAGGTCTTAGAGACTTAACTAAAAAGACACACAGCTGTGATCACCACCAAAGGTGCTTCTACAAAGTATTGACTCAGCGGTGTGATTACTTATCTAAATTAGATTTTTCTGTATTTCATTTTCAAAAATGTCTAAAAACATGTTTTCACTTTGTCATTATGTTTGTAGAATATATATTGAATCCATTTTGAATTCAGGGTATAACACAATGAAATGTGGAATAAGTCAATGGGTATGAATACTTTTCTGAAGACACTGTATTTACATTAAAATCACCATTGGCCTCATGGTGAAATCCCTGAGTGGTTTCCTTCCTCTCCGGCAACGGCCTTAGGAAGGACGTCTGTATCTTTGTAGTGACTGGGTGTATTGATACACCATGCAAAGTGTAATCAATAACTTCACCATGGTCAAAGGGATATTCAATGGTCAACCCATCTACCAACAGGTGCCCTTCTTTGCGAGGCATTGGAAAACCTCCCTAGTCTTTGTAGTTGAATCTGTGTTTTAAATTCACTGCTCGACTGAGGGACCTTACAGATAATTGTATGTGTGGGGTACAGAGATGAGGTAGTCATTCAAAAATCATGTTAAACACTTTTACTGCAGAGTGAGGCCATGCAACTTATTATGTGACTTGTTAAGCACATTTTTACTCCTGAACTTATTTAGACTTCCCATAACAAAGGGGTTAAATACTTATTGATTCAAGACATTTCAGCTTTTAATTTTTAATTAATGTATTTAAAAAATCCAAAACATTATTCCACCTTGACATTATGGTGTATTGTGTATAGGCCAGTGACACAAAATCTCAGTTGAATTTATTTTAAATTCAGGCTGTAACACAACAAAATGTGGAAAGATTCAAGTGGTGTGAATACATCCTGAAGGCACTGTAAAATCAGTACGTATAAATATCATAACACCAATCTACCATTCTTCAGAAACAAATCAAATTCTCAACAAAGCATGGGACTGGAAATCTGTCCACTTTTATTTGGAGGTTATCTGTAGAACCTTATCTCAGTTTAAGGACCAAATCAGGTTATTCAGTTCTTCTCAGAGGACAAAGAGAAATTTTCTCAGCTGATGTCTCTCTCATTCTGCCGTCTCAAAGAGGAGGAAATTCCCTTTCTAATGGGTGGGACAGCCTTCCCTTCCGCCGGTGCCCTATATATATTTTCATTTATTCATCCATCCATTCATTCACTCCTCCCCCTCTCCAGAGGCCTATATGGCTCTGTTCAGGAGTCTCCTATTCAATCCCTCCAACCCTAATATCTTTAATTTGGCCCCTCCATATAGTACTCTACTATTCCATTTACCCAGTTGACCTCCAGTCCTAACCTGATTTCCATGTGATCTATGACAGGTCTCGTCCTGTCTGACAGGGCATCCTCGGCAGGTGGCATTCCATCTACCGCATTAGCCCGCAAAAAAATAAAAGAGAAAGCCACCCACAATTAGATCAGGCAGAGGGGAAATGCTGCCAGACAAGGAGTTAGGGGGAATATGGTTGTCGTATCACATTTACCGAGCAGGGTCCTCATCACTGAGAACAGGTGGAGGGTGAGGAAAAGACAAGATACCCCGAGGAGAAAGGAGGAGGGGAGGAGGAGAGGAGAGGAAGAGAGGGGGAGATTATTCTCATGTGGAAGGCATCTGGGCTGATGGGGAGGATGGTGGCAGGCAGACAGACTGGCAGGCCTTGTTTCATGTGCAGCTGACAGAAAGAAGAAGGCTCTGATTGGAGATGACAGACAATACCAAGTTTCCAATGCTTTCTGTTCTGTGGGGAGGAGAGAAGGAATAGGATAGTCTGACATCCACCCACTCTCTCACTGATCTGACCGAGAGAGAGAGAGAGAGAGAGAGAGAGAGAGAGAGAGAGAGAGAGAGAGAGAGAAGATAGAGAGAGATAAGAGAGCAGCGAGATTAGAGGCGAGAGGCTCGTCTAATAGAGATAGAGAGGCGAGTCGAGAGAGGAGAGGGAGAGACGAGAGAGAGATCCAAAGGCAAAACAAAACATTAGATCTGTCAGACCAGGCGTTTTGTATATACAGTGTCTTCAGAAAGTATTCACACCTCTTGAATTTTTCCCACATTGTGTTGTGTTCCAGTCTGAATTTAAAATTGATTGAATTGAGATGTATTGTCACTGGCCTACACGCAATACCCCATCATTTCAAAGTGAAATAATGTTTTTAGAAATGTTTAAAAATTAATCAAAAATGAAAAGCTGAAATGTCTTGAGTCAATAAGTATTCAACCCCTTTGTTATGGCAAGCCTAAATAAGTAAAAAGAGTAAAATGTTTCTTAACAAGTCACATAATAAGTTATACGGACTCACTCTGTGTGCAGTAATAGTGTTTAACATGATTTTTGAATGACTACCTCATCTCTGTACCCCTTCACATACAGTTATCTGTAAGGTCCCTCAGTCGAGCAGTGAATTTCAAACACAGATTCAACAACAAAGACCAGGGAGGTTTTCCAATGCCTCGCAAAGAAGGGCACCTATTGGTAGATGGGTAAAAATAAAACAAGCAGACATTGAATATCCCTTTGAGCATGGTGAAGTTATTCATGACACTTTCATCAGGACAATAACCTAAAACACAAGGCCAAATCTACACTGGATTTGCTTACCAAGAAGACAGTGAATGTTCCCGAGTGGCTGAGTTACAGTTTGGACTTAAATCTACTTGAAAATCTATGGCAAGACCTGAAAATGGTTGTCTAGCAATGATCAACAACCAATTTTATAGAGCTTAAAGACTTTTGAAAAGAATATTGGGTAAATGTTGCGCTATCCAGGTGTGGAAAGCTCTTAGAGACTTACCCATAAAGACTCACAGCTGTCATCGCTGCCAAAGGTCCTTCTACAAAGTACTGACTGAGGGGTGTAAATACTTATGTTAATGAGATATTTCTGTATTTCGTTTTCCAAAAAAATTGCTACAATGTTTTCACTTTGTCATTATGGGGTATTTTGTGTAGATCCATTTAGAATGTAGGCTGTAACACAACAAAATGTGGAATAAGTCAAGGGGTATGAATACTTTCTGAAGGCACTGTATATGCTTACAATTAAAATATATTACCCCACATCTCCCTTATGAAGTAAATAATCATTGCATTATGTGAATCAATGTGTGAAGTAGGTATCTAAATCTAAAAATAACATTTGTTTAAAGCTAGACCAGAGTTCCCGATTAGGCCTAAAGAAATAGAGTTGGTTCTCCAGCAGTGCTTCCAATACCCCTATGACATCATCAGGCAGAGCCGAGTAGAAATATAACATTCTCCTCCTGGCCAATCAGACAATAGATAGATAAGTCCTGACGATCCCTCCATTTAAGTGATAATGCCCGAGATGCCGGTGTTTGGAGCATATATTGGCACGGGTGTTGTTATGCCCGAGACAAAGTCGAGGGCCGGCAAACCGTGCCAATATATCCTCCAAACATCGGCTTCGAGGGCATTATCACTTTTATACAACGGGTTAACAACATATTCAAATAATGATTGACATATTTTCATAAACGTTATTTTTATTAATTTATTCATACTATTTCATCCTTCCACAATATATAGTCCCGACACAAATCTAGGGTTGCTGGAGACGCGATCCAGTCGTTCAGTCTTTTTGTTCTGTATTTCGTTCTAAATGTTCCATTGCCATACTGGCTGGCAACGTTCTTATCCCTTGCTTGCTAGCTAGCCAACTATGACAAACTTACAGTCACATCAAAAAGTGCAGCCAGAATAACAGCAAAGTAGCTGTATTTGCATTTGTTTAAACTGTTTTCTAGTGAGTGACATTTATTTAAGATACATCCATAACAATGAGCTAATGAGGCGCGATTTCGCCTACCATAGAAAATGTGCTCACTTGTCAGGACACTGTTGTTCAGAGGAGCTAGCCAACAACACAGCTACAGTAACACAATCACTTCAAACTGAAGCTGGAAAGACTGCAAATTAGCTGCGTTTCATTTTACCTTTTTTCAATATACCTTTTTTTGTATATATCCATAAAAATTATGCCAGCTGATTCATGATTTCGACTGGCTGAGAAAAGCTGCCTGCCTGTCTGTCTCGTCCCAACTCCCACACGTTCATTACTATGGGACAGCTGGAGATCGAATTTCAATATTGAAACAATGTTGCAAATGTCTGAGAGACAGCCCACAACAAAATGTTAGTCTAAAAGAAATGTGAGATCATGTCTAGATGCTTTTTATAGTGGAAATAAAGTTTATAAATTGCCTGGCTGGGCTGATAATAATATAATATGCCATTTAGCAGACGCTTTTATCCAAAGCGACTTACAGTCATGCGTGCATACATTTTTTTTGTGTATGGGTGGTCCCGGGGATCGAACCCACTACCTTGGCGTTACAAGCACCGTGCTCTACCAGCTGAGCTACAGAGGACCACACTGATGAGACAGTGGATTGCGCAGTCAGATGGAACAGAGTAAATAGGCATTTTAACTTCATAGATTTAGCCGGTGGCAATTTGTGGAATAGACACGGCTGGAATGCGCTCTTAACCAATCAGCATTCAGGATTAGACCCACCCGTTGTATAATACATTATAATCCAGCTATAATTCCATGGTTTACTTCTGCATTTCACAGAGAGAACAGGGTAGTGCGCCCCAGGTTTTCTTTATCCAGCAGTGCAAGAGGATCACTAAATGATCCCTGCCTATTAAGCTGTCTGGTATAAGTAGAGAGAGAAAAGGGGTCATGGGGAAAGGGCAGAGTTTCCTTTAGAAAAGGTAACAAGAGGCCAAGTCCTTTTTGGCTGGTGTATAATGGAAGCCTCGGGCTGACAAAATAAATGCATCTTCCTCTCTCCCTGACCCCCTCTTAACCTTTTACTGCAGTGGGCTAAATCGAGGTCACACAGAGTGATTCTTGGTAGTCTTAAATAAATCTACTTTGAAACAAAAGTATACACCTCACACACATTGCTATGGTCTTAAAAAAAGAAGACACCTGTACAATGTCAGATATAGAGTTCCCAGGCGTGCATTATAGATTCTCATTGTTACTTAATTAAGGGGAAATGAGATATGCTCATGGTCATTTATTGTGGTGTTTTTTTAGCATTAATCATAATTAATTAAATACCTAGATAATGTATATAAACGCAACATAAAAATAAATAAAAATATAAACGCAACATATAAAGTGTTGGTCCCATGTTTCATGAGCTGAAATAAAATATCCCAGAAATGTTCCATATGCACAAAAAGCTTATTTCTCTAAAATGTTGTTTATATCCCTGTTAGTGAGAATTTCTTCCAAGATAATCCATCCACCTAACAGGTGTGGTATATCAAGAAGCTGATTAAACAGCATGATCATTACACAGGTGCACCTTGTGCTTGGGACAAAAAAAACACCACTCTAAAAAGTGCAGTTTTGTCACACAACACAATGCCACAGATGTCTCAAGTTTTGAGAGAGAATGTAATTGGCTTGCTGACTGCAGGAATATCCACCAGAGCTGTTGCCAGAGATTTTAATGTTAATTTCTCTACCATAAGCCGCCTCCAACGTTGTTTTAGAGAATTTGGCAGTACGTCCAACCGGCCTCAAAACCACAGACTGTGTGTAACCACGTCAGCCCAGGACCCCCACATCCAGCTTCTTCACCTGCGGGATCGTCTGACACCAGCCACCCGGACAGCTGATGAAACGGAGGAGTATTTCTGTCTGTAAGAAAGCCCCTTTGTGGGGAAAACTAATTCTGATTGGCCTGCCTCCCCAGTAACTTAGTAAAATCATTGCGTTTATATTTTTTGTTCAGTAAACATCACAGAAGACTGAAATATAACACAACTGTTTGACATAGAAACACAAGATTTTCGTTGTAAAAAATAAAAAATAAATTAATAATTAATAAAAAAACTATGAAAAATATTAACAACATTCCACCCATGAGGCCAAAGGGGGCGCTTTTGGTCATTGACACCAGGAAAGAGCTACACAGCAGGGGGGATGATGTGGTGTCATACAGAGGTAGTGGTAGTATTGGGTAGTGATGGACGACTAACCTACAATACACTTATTACCTCAAGAAAGAGCTGTTGACCCAGCAAATAAGACCCAGCAAATAAAGTGTCTGTTTTAGTTCAGTTTTTGGCCCTAGAAATAGCCTTCCAAACTTTGGTCCACAGAGGAAACTTCTCTTGAGAATGTTATCAATTGTATAGAGTGAGAAAACTAGGCTTAAACTATAAACAGTTTCCTAGTTACCAAACTTTTCTGACCACAACATGCAGTCAAGATGGCATCCCTCTTCCTGACACACCCACTTCCTATTTAACTCAAACCAGGAAGTGACTATGGGTGTGGCTAGGGAGTGACCAGGGCGATGCCCACAGCCTATACACATCTCAAGGAACCTTGTGGGTTGCAAGTGTCTTTGTGTGTATTGACTATCCTGTATGTGTGTATCCTGTGTGTGTGTGTGTGTGTGTGTGTGTGTGTGTGTGTGTGTGTTTGTTTCCAGCTGGTGGGTCTGACCCTGCTGGGCGGGGGGATTTGGGTGAGTGTGGGTGGGGGTTCGTTCCTCCAGGTGCTGGCTCCCTTCTCCACCCACGACATGCAGTCTGTCAAGGTGGGCTTCTTCTGCATCGCTATTGGAGGAGTTCTGGTTCTACTGTGTGTTGTGGGCTGCTGTGGAGCCCACAATGAGAGCAAGTGTCTGCTACTACTGGTAGGTACAGTCCAGAATACAGGCCAAATGCTGAACACAGCCAATTAACTTACACTAACTGTTAACCTGAACACAGCCAATTAACTTACACTAACTGTTAACCTGAACACAGCCAATTAACTTACACTAACTGTTAACCTGAACACAGCCAATTAACTTACACTAACTGTTAACCTGAACACAGCCAATTAACTTACTCTAACTGTTAACCTGAACACAGCCAATTAATTTACACTAACTGCTATACTCACAATTGTGATCTAACTCAACTACAAAACCATAAGGTACATTATTCACAATATCTACAGTATAACATTCATGACCGTACAATAGACCTTACGTACCCACTTCTCTACACTCCCAATTCATCTATCTACACAGTTCACAAAACAAGCTACCACATCCATGATGGACTATCTTTCTCCAGTGTAGTCCTGAAGAAGGTGTGTTAATGTTCATTAACAATGTGGCTAACTACCCCCAGAGTCCATTTCATGAATAATGAGTAGCACAGCTAGGACATTTCCCCCATAAGCACCATCACATACTAAGTCGTTCATTACTCAGACTGATAGAGCTGCACGGAGTCTAACGGTAGTAGTCCATATAGGATACATTACTGTTCCCAGCTCACAGCCAGGAGAAGATGCTTATCGGTTGTTTCAGTGTTCACATTAAACCACTTCCCTGTTCTCCTTTGTCTAATCAACGGTTAGCCTTTACAATAACATGACAGGACAAAGGCTGATTACGAAGCCCTGAGGAGTGCAGGAGTTGTGTTGTGGTTGGATAGGGGTTGTTTAGTTGTTGTGGTTGGATAGGGGTTGTTTAGTTGTTGTGGTTGGATAGTTTTTTTTGTTGTTGTTGTGGTTGGATAGGGGTTGTTTAATTGTTGTGGTTGGATAGGGGTTGCTTAGCTGTTGTGGTTGGATAGGGGTTGTTTAGCTGTTGTGGTTGGATAGGGGTTGTTTAATTGTTGTGGTTGGATAGGGTTGTTTAGTTGTTATGGTTGGATAGGGGTTGTTTAATTGTTGTGGTTGGATAGTTTTTTTTTAGCTATTGTGGTTGGATAGGGGTTGTTTAGTTGTTGTGGTTGGATAGGGGTTGTTTAATTGTTGTGGTTGGATAGGGGTTGTTTAGCTGTTGTGGTTAGATAGGGGTTGCTTAATTGTTGTTGTGGTTGGATAGGAGTTGTTCAGTTATTTGTAGTTGTATTTATAATGGATCCCCATTAGCTGCTGCCAAGGTAGCAGCTACTCTTCCTGGGGTCCAGCAAAATTTAGGCAGTTATAAAACATATTAAGTGTGTGTCCTCAGGCCCCTACTCTACTACCACATCTCTACAACACAAAATCCATGTGTATGTGTGTGTATAGTGCGTATGTTATCATGTGTTTGTATGCATGTGTCTGTGCCTATGTTTGTGTTGCTTCACAGTCCCTGTTGCTTCACAGTCCTCAGTTGTTGTGGTTGGATAGGGGTTGTTTAGTTTTTGTGGTTGGATAGGGGTTGTTTAGTTGTTGTGGTTGGATAGGGGTTGTTTAGTTGTTGTGGTTGTATTGTATTTGTGTGTTGTGTGTTGTGGTGTGGTGGTTGTGTTGTGGTTGTGTTGAAGTTGCAGTCAGCTACTCTAGTCTAAAGCCAAGTCCTTGTTCTTTGTCTTGTTCTTCTAAGTTTTTCTCCATCATCCTGATTATTTTCATCGCTGAAGTGGCAGCCGGAGCCGTGGCCCTCACCTACTCTTCAGTTGTAAGTCTCCCTCTCTCTCTCCACCTCTGACTCGAACCTCCCTCCCTCCCTCTCTCTTTCTCTCTCTCTTTGTATCATCTCTCCTTATGTCTCTCTCTCCCTCCCCCCTCCTCTCTCTCTCTCGCTCTGGCTTTCACTACCCTTCTCGATTTTATCTCCATGTATATGTTCCCTCATACCCCGGCCATCATTGAATTACTGGGCTTTATGTCCACTTCAGTACATTCGGCCCTTTAATGACTCCAAGATTGCCTGGGGCTGTGTGCGACGCCTCTCACTTTGAGCAATTTATTACTCTGGAATATTGAAGTTAAAGCATTTTATATGCAAAACAGACTATTTACATATATAGGTCCCCCTCCCGCTCTTTCTCCTTCCTGTTCAGTGCAATATACAGTAAAATACTAGCAGGACACCCCGTCCTTACGGACGGTAAATCATTGGAAATGAATCATTTTATTTAATGCAATTCTCTCCTCCTACAAATCAAAAATGTGTTTATCTGTTCAGCGTTTTGGTCTCTGGATATACCAATATTCTCAACTCCGGAGCATTTAAAAAAAAACTCCCATAGGCCTATTTCCTGTGGGATCATGGCCCTTGCTTTCTCTTTAAAATTCAATGTTGGCCCCATGTTATCTATATATATTTTAAAAAACAGTATAGGAGGGCTCCAGACTTAAGAAATAAGTTGTTTCATCTAACATGTCCAAGCAGGAATGCAAGATAAAGATATTTTGATGCGCAATACCTAAACCAGTGATTGGCATGAATTTTGAGTTGACAATTAGGCTATTGATGCTATAATTGTACTGTCAAATTAGGGCTCCAGAAGTGTAATTTCCACCACTCCAATGTCTACCAGCTCACATTTGTTGCCAATGTGCCAGTGCTTATTTGACTTGTTATATACCTTGTTTTATTTGACAACATTATTTGAAAGGATTTGAGGGTTAGTTTAAGAGTTGGGGAAAACAGGACAGCGGGTCATCATGAGATGCTGTTGAAGATTTTACACATGGGCCCGTCAGACTGTAAGCACAGCAGCGCAGATGATACTGTACTGTGTGGGTTGCTGCATGTTGCAAAATGAATACTACTATTGTGTTGCATAATTGCCATGGTAATTTGGAATGTCCAGTCAATGAGCATTATGGGTATAGGCCTAGTCATTCTACCAATACAAAATTGGCCTACAAACGCTTACATCAAGTGCTTTATGACAGCATCATTATTTACTTTCAGAGGTGAATGTATCAAACCAGTTGCCGTGATACGTTTTTTGTTGTTGTGCACTCTCCTCAAACAATAGCATGGTATTTTTTCACTGTAATAGCTACTGTAAATTGGATAGTGAAGTTAGATTAACAAGAATTTAACCTTTCTGCCCATATAAGACATGTCTTTAGTCCTGGAAAGTTTGCTGTTACTTACAACAGTCATGCTAATCACATTAGCGCACGTTAGCTCAACCGTCCCGTATATGGGACACCGATCCCGTAGAGGTTAACCACACTGCTAACCTTAACCACACTGCTAACCTTAACCTTTACCTTAACCACACTGCTAACCTAACCCTAACCTCAACCAAACTGCTAACCTTAACCTAACCCTAACCTCAACCTAACCCTAACCTTAACCTAACCCTAACCTCAACCAAACTGCTAACCTCAACCAAACTGCTAACCTTAACCTAACCCTAACCTCAACCAAACTGCTAACCTTAACCTAACCCTAACCTTAACCAAACTGCTAACCTCAACCAAACTGCTAACCTTAACCTAACCCTAACCTCAACCAAACTGCTAACCTTAACCTAACCCTAACCAAACTGCTAACCTTAACCTAACCTCAACCAAACTGCTAACCTTAACCTAACCCTAACCTTAACCAAACTGCTAACCTTAACCTAACCCTAACCTCAACCAAACTGCTAACCTTAACCTAACCCTAACCTTAACCAAACTGCTAACCTTAACCTAATCCTAACCTCAACCAAACTGCTAACCTTAACCTAAACCTAACCTCAACCAAACTGCTAACCTTAACCTACCCCTAACCTTAACCACACTGCTAACCTTAACCTAACCCTAACCTTAACCACACTGCTAACCTTAACCTAACCCTAACCTTAACCAAACTGCTAACCTTAAACTAACCCTAACCTCAACCAAACTGCTAACCTTAACCTAACCCTAACCTTAACCACATTGCTAACCTTAACCTAACCCTAACCAAACTGCTAACCTTAACCTAACCCTAACCTCAACCAAACTGCTAACCTTAACCTAACCCTAACCTCAACCACATTGCTAACCTTAACCTAACCCTAACCAAACTGCTAACCTTAACCTAACCCTAACCTCAACCAAACTGCTAACCTTAACCTAACCCTAATGTGTGTGTATGTTGGTGGGTTTTTGTCTAGGACCAGAAGAGATCCTAGGTGTGCATTATAGATTCTCATTGTTACTTAATTAGATATGCATATAGTCAATCTATTGTGCTGTTTTTTTTAGCGTTAATCCTATTAATTCATTACCTAGACAAAGAACACTACCATTTCGATAATGTATATGGCATTCTCCGAGCAGCTGCCCATCTCTGGCTTTTGATGACACAGTATCATTGCAATAATTAATATGGATTGGGTAGTAATATACATAGGCATCTATGAACATAATAACTCTCAGAAATATACCCCTGCAGACAATGAAATGGGCAATAAATATAGGGTGTTGATCTATTTCCTACTACTTTATCTACCACATCAATCTCTCTTTCCCCATCAGGCCTATGCCCTAATCTAACCAAAAAGCCATGACCCGATGGAATCTGAATAACCCAGATTTAATAACCAATTTTAGGGAGCGTTATACAAGCGTTATATGGCTGGTTTATAGTTCTTCTAAAAGGCATTCAGAGGTGACACGTGAGCATATATGATGCAAAAATGTAAAACAACACTGCAAGTTACTGCAGGGCCTTAATAACAGATCGATTATGACAGAGAGGTGGTTGTTTCTGTCGGTAAGAGCTACTCTGCTATAGGGCTTCCTCTGTTTGTTACCATTAAATAATGTCAGATAATTAACACTTTTTCAGGATTTATATTTATATAGATAAAATATATATATATATATATATACATATATATATATATAGTATATATATATATATATATATATATATATCAGTATTTTTCTATCAATAACACACAATGGCATATAGCCTAATATCCTCCACAACTCTCCTCTCCTTGCACAGTTTAGTTGATACAGCAGGTACTTTATCCCCTCCTGGCTCAGAGGCGTGTTTGTTGGTTATGCCTTTTTCCTGTCCACAGTGGATGTGTGAGTGTATGTGTGTGTGTGTGTGTGTGTGGGTGGGTGTGGGTGTATGTGTATGTGTATGTGTATGTGTATGTGTATGTGTATGTGTGTGTGTGTGTGTGTGTGTGTGTGTGTGTGTGTGTGTGTGTGTGTGTGCGTGCGTTCGTGTGTGTGAGGGAATGCAGTGTAGTGAGGGGCACGCAGGGCAGGTAACCAGGCAGGCAGAGTGACAATGATGAATTAGCTAGCTGGTAATAACCCCTCTGATCTGAGCCTCTCTTCCCACTTCTTGGGGGGCACTTTTAATTGTAGCATGTCTCCACGTCCCCTCAGGCTACTCTCCCCTGCCCCCTGATAACACACACACACCCTCCCTCCCCTGAGTCTTTGTGTGACTGTACGCCAAGGGCTTATTAATCAAAATGGAAAAAACGGGGACAGACTGAGCGGAAGGAGGTAGGGAGGGAGGTAGAGAGAGGGAGGGAGGGTAGAGAGTGGGAGGGAGGTAGAGAGAAGGAGGGAGGGAGGTAGAGATTGGGAGGGAGGTAGAGAGAGGGGGGGGGGGGGGGGGGGAGCTGAAAGAAAGCCAGCCTGTATGTCATATAGGAATTCACTCTGGCATGAACGTATTCCTTTGTATTATATTGATATGTTCTCTCTGCATGAAATAAATATGGTGTGAAACACAATGGGAAAAGTGTCCTGACCGAACAAGCAGGAGCATCAATATATATGTAAATGTGGCCACTTACAATCACAAAGGAGAAAATTGAGAAAAATGTCCCAGTCATCTTCTCAGGTGCAGGCTATGGGTTTTATTTCCCAGGTGTTTTGTTTGGTTCAGATAGACATTTATTTCATTATTGATGCATAGGTGACTGCCTGAGCTGTACCCTCTAAGCCTGTAAAAACCGCATATATATTGTGTGTTCGTTCAGTGGCTTGTGTGTGTGTGTGTGTGTGTGTGTAGTGGTCGTTGATCTTAGGAACTTAGTGGCCCTATTTGCTACAGTGCATGTACATGCACCATGAGATTTTCATGTGTATGTGTGTGTATGGTCTCCAGGCCGAGGGGATCCTTAAAGCATGGGCCACCCCTGTCTTGAAGAACCAGTATGGCAGCAATCTGGTGGTCACCAAGATCTGGAACAACACCATGACAGAGGTATGGCTCGAGTTACCACTACTTCACTATTTCTCCGCTATCCAGGAGCAAGACAGGTGCCATTGTTCATAGACAATGGTGAGCCTGAACTATCCAAATCCATGGCTAGCCCTCCTGAGTCCTGACTAACCCTATCTGCGATATTTAGTCCCATACGGTATGGGCCATAACTGCTGAGTTTGCCATACACTATCTATCACATGTCAATCACATTCTACCCTGTAAGAGTTTAGAATTGTAATGACATGGCTTTTACTCTTTGTATTGTAAAGCTTCTGTATTGTGCCTTACCGTCAATAGTGTTTTCAGTTGCATACAATTCTACATTTCTGCCATTGTTCAGCTCTCCTTATTATGCTTGATTAATGCAAAGACCTTGACTTGTGAAACTCTCTCTCTGCTAAATGAGTATGTCAATACATCATGTAACTCTCTAGGACCATGACCACCATATTTAAGAAGCCTACAGGCTAGAAATTACAGAGGAATAAAAATCAATATCCTAAGTAGAATGCCAAAGAAAAGCTGTTTGTAACATAACCGTCCATGTCGTGTTGCTTTTTATTGAATGCTAAATCAATAACTAAATGAAATGCCTTTATTTTGGTGAACACTTGCCAGTGTGCTAGTCCATCTCCAACGCATTGTTGTTAGCATGCCACTCAAGTGAAATTCTCAAAGCCTGTTACAAGGAAATGCTGAGAGAACGCTACAACATCGCAAATTGTCTCTCTTTCTTTCTCTCCGTGTCCTTGAAGCTGAACTGCTGTGGCTTCACCAACTACACAGACTTTACGGATTCGTACTACTCTGAGCAGAGCGAGGGCAGCTACCCACCCAGCTGCTGCCAGCTAGACACTGCCCCCTGCAGCCAGCAGCAGGCATTGCTCAATGCTGTTCAGGTGAGACCACACCTGCCAATGAATGATAAAAGTTATATGTTTTATGAGCGGTGCATGACCCTTATGGCAACATTAGTTCTAAGTGGTTTTAATGGGCTTTCTCCATTCTGATGGTTTTATACTCAACCAAACTAGGACAAAACTGACAGAGAAGTAGTCTGATTTGTAGAACTTTTGTATTTATTTTATCACTGTTTCAAAATATTGTTACAGACGGTATCGTAAACATTTATACGGGTAGTATCCTGATGCGCAGGGTCTAAGGCATACGCAGTGCTAACTGTGTATAAGAATATCCAGCTCGTCGCAGCGCCGGACGGGAGATGGCGCCACTGCCAGTCGTCCGGTAGGGAGGGAACAGGATTGCTCATAGAGCATGTGTTCACGCCGGGTTGGGTTCGTTCCACGGGGGGCCAGTATAAAAAAATTTTGTGATCACAGTGTCGCTCGGATAATAGCGTCTGCTATAATAAGCGTAATATGGTCATACAGGTTAAACTACAAACGCCGCCCTACCCTATTAGTGATATTTTGATCAGGTCCAGCTCTGTCAAATAGTGCAGAAATAGAAAAGGGGTCATTTATATACCCGTATTCTATTCTATAATATTCTACTGTATCTTAGTCCATGCCGCTCTGTCATTGCTTGTCCATATATGTATATATTCTTAAATTTCATTCCTTACTTAGATTTGTGTGTATTGGGTATATGTTCTGAAATTGTTAGATATGACTTGTTAGATATTACTGCACTGTCGGAGCTAGAAGCACAAGCATTTCTCTACACCCGCAATAACATCTGCTAAACACGTGTATGTGACAAATAAAATTTGATTTGATTTGATTTGGGATGCATTCCATAGACTTAATAGGGTGAGACGCCCACAGAGTGACATTGTTTCCCACAGGAACAACCATAAGTATCCTTGTTTACACTCAAATGTATTATAAACTAAACATCTTCAACAACCTTCACTTGATCTAGAGAAAAACAGGTGCAACCTTTGCATCTGGTGCAAATGTGTAACAAATCTGACCCATTGCCTTTAATGACCTTGTGTTTTAAAACCACTTAGACGTGTACAACAATTGTTATATAAATAATTCATGTTCTGTACACTTTCCTCTCCAGGGCTGTTTTGAACAGCTGTTGGAGGCCCTTCAGAAGAACGCCAACATCATAGGTGGAATAGCTGTTGGAATCGGAGGGCTGGAGGTAAAATCAACACATCATAACTGATCCCGTGTGGCTCAGTTGGTAGAGCATGGCACTGCCAACACCAGGGTTGTGGGTTCGATTCCCACGGGGGAACAGTATGAAAAATGTATGCTCTCACTACTGTAAGTCGCTCTGGTTAAGAGTGTCTGTAATTGTGTATTGTTCAGTGCAGGAGTACAACCCAGTACCGTGTCTATCAACCTTTAGTCACAGAGTAGTGCAGGATGAGTAAAAGCCATTGATTTGCATGTACTGAACATCCCATGGCGACAGACATGACATTTTATGGCTTTGAGGAATCTGGTCTAAAATCTGATCATGTCATCATAAAGTGACTCACGCACATTCACAAGCAGGCAGGAAGAGGAGATAGGGTAGGTTCAGGTAGGAACCGTACGGACCAGGGCTAGGGAGTTTTTCCTGTTATGGTCCAGTCATATGTGGCTCTGGTTAGGTCATTGTGTCAGGAATAACTCCTGGCCATAATGACAGCTAGTGTTTGATACAGGGGCTGTTACAGTGCCTTCAGAAAGTATTCATACCCCTTGACATATTTCACATTTTGTTGTGTTACAGCCTGAATTCAAATGTTTTTTTAATTTTTTTTTAATTTAAAAACATAATTCCACTTTGACATTTATAGGGTATTGTGTGTAGGCCAGTGACACAAAATCTCAATTCAGGCTGTAACACCACAAAACGTGAATACTTTCTGAAGGCACTGTACTTGTAATGAAAGCCATGTCAATGTAGTTCTAATGTAGATAATCCTAACACAAGTTTCTCTCTCCTAGGTGGCATCCATGGTGTTATCCATGTACCTGTACTGTTACCTGGACAACAATGTCAGCTGAGACTTTTTGTTGTAGATACAATATGTTACTGTACAGTTGAAGTCGGAAGTTTACATACACTTAGGTTGGAGTCATTAAAACTCGTTTTTCAACCACTCCACACATTTCTTGTTAACAAACTATAGTTTTGGCAAGTCGGTTAGGACATCTACTTTGTGCATGACACAAGTAATTTTTCCAACAATTGTTTACAGACAGATTATTTCACTTATAATTCACTGTATGGCAAAATGGCTTAAGGACAACAAAGTCAAGGTATTGGAGTGGCCATCACAAAGCCCTGACCTCAATCCTATAGAACATTTGTGGGCAGAACTGAAAAAGCGTGTGCGAGCAAGGAGGTCTACAAACCTGACTCAGTTACACCAGCTCTGTCAGGAGGAATGGGCCAAAATTCACGAAACTTATTGTGGGAAGCTTGTGGAAGGCTACCCGAAACGTTTGATCCAAGCTAAACAATTTAAAGGCAATGCTAGAAAATACTAATTGAGTGTATGTAAACTTCTGACCCACTGGGAATGTGATGAAAGAAAGTAAAAGCTGAAGCAAATCATTCTCTCCACTATTATTCTGACATTTCACATTCTTAAAATAAAGTGGTGATCCTAACTGACCTAAAACAGGGAATTTTTACTAGGATTAAATGTCAGGAATTGTGAAAAACTGAGTTTAAATGTATTTGGCTAAGGTGTATGTAAACTTCCGACTTCAACTGTATATTGTAAAGGTTAATAATAGTGATTGTAGTGCCATCATATCTGATAGGTTGCCTTGATGTTATTATCTACAAATGTAAATCTGTTATCCATTATTTCACGTTCACTCATCAAATGAGATATCTTTTAAATTAATTAATAGCACACAAAAGCCAAAACATAATACTGTGTGTAATGCTGTTTTAGAGATTGCCACATTTATCTACTGTAAATACACTTAATATTTACAATAAATTCCAGCTACCAACATGTCTTGATGTTTTACAACAAAATCACACATTTGAGTGTACAAAACATCAAGCACACCTTCCTAATATTGAGTTGTACCCCCCTCTTTTGCCCTCAGAACAGCCTCAATTCATCGGGGCATGGACTCTACAGGGAGTCGAAAGCATTCCACAGGGATGCTGGCCCATGTTGACTCTAATGCTTCCCACAGTTGTGTCAAGTTCACTGGATGTCCTTTGTGTGGTGGACCATTCTTGATGCACACGGGAAACTGTTCAGCATTCACTCTCTGAATGGCACACATACACAATCCATGTCTCAATTCTCTCAAGGCTTGAAAATCCTTCTTTAACCTGTCTCCTCCCCTTCATCTACACTGATTGAAGTGGATTTAACAAGTGACAACAATAAGGGATCATAGTTTCCACCTGGTCAGTCTATGTCATGGAAAGAGCAGGTGTCCTTAATGTTTTGTACTCTCAGTGTATACTGTAATATGAATTTGAGATAATTCAAACCCAAGTATATTAAATGAGCAGTGTGCAACAACATACTGCATTATAATGTGTGTCACCTATAATAGTATAGTGACACAAACATCCCAAGCCTTTATACTGTGTGCAGATGAATAGAATACTGTGTGTTTTTAGTCTTTGTCCTATTACCGTCTATTACCACCACAAGTTACAGTAAATATTGACCAATCGGGGGCCTCTGAAATATAGAAAGGAGGAATGGAGAGATAGCGTGAAATAGGGTATTGTTCAAGCCTCATATACCGTGCCTCTGGTTATTGCACCTGAATTAGTGGAATCATCATCTTAAACCCCTGTACAAACCCTGAACGCCAAGCATATGTTATTGTTCCCCTTTAGAGATAAATCTCTCATCATCTCAGACCCACTGTGCTCATCTCATTCCCTCCCATGTATAACAATAACCCTCACACACCAACCCTCTCTTCTCTCTCTCTCTCTCTCTCTCGCTCTCTCTCAACAATAACCTTCATACAGCAACCCTCTCTCTCAACAATAACCTTCATACACCAACCCTCTCTCTCAACAATAACCTTCATTCAGCAACCCTGTCTTGGGACTACAGTCCCAGCGATTGATCAATATTGAATCTACATTTCCTGCTCCGAGGGGCTTAGAGAGAGTACTGCTCATCTCAATGTTCAATAAGTCAAAGTGACATTAAAAAGCAGCGCTGCCCACCACCTTGGCTCTGATAGGATCCACTGCTCTTGACGGACAGGCCAAATTAACAGGTTTAGCGTTAGCGTTTACAATAAAACAATCAGAATCCCCCTATCTATCGGATCCAGCGACAGCTTCAGTGTGTCTATACAGAGCCAGAAACAATCACCCTGTAGGAAACTAAACACTGTCTTTATGTGGGGATGATCATGTGAAACACACACACACACATTTAATTATGAACAAACAGGAACATTCAGCTTGACAGACTATTTCATACATAGTACATGCATCTGTGATCACACGCGCTTCAATGCGCACACACGCAGTACATGACATATGAACCACAGTACTGATGTACATATGACACACCCACACAGACTGATGTAACACCCACACTGATTATATGAACACACACACACACACTGAGTACTGATGTGTACATATGAACCACACCACACAGACATGATGTACATATGAACACACACACAGATACTGATGTACATATGAACACACACACACAAACTGATGTACATATGAACACACACACCAATACACTGATGTACATATGAACACACACAGATACTGATGTACATATGAACACACACACAGATACTGATGTACATATGAACACACACACAGACACTGATGTACATATGAACACCACACACAGATACTGATGTACATATGAACACACACCACACAG